TGAGATAAGTGTGTGGGAGGTGGACTTTAGTTTAAAGTAACAATAAGCCCAGCCAGTGTGGCTCAGTGGTTGAGCATCAACCTATGAACCATGCAGTCACAGTGGGATTCCCTGGATTCCCAGTCAGGGCGCATGCCCAGTTGTGGGCTCAATCCCCAGTAGGGGGCATGCAGGAGGCAGCCAGTCAATGGCTCTCTATCATCATTGATGTTTCTATCTCCCTTTCCTCCCTCCTTAAAATCAATAAAAATATATTAAAGTGAGAATAAAACTCTTCTCTGGGTCTAGTGTCATTTGGCCCTGAGTTATGATGATACCCAGTGGCTCACTCTGGTGTGAAGACAGACTGGGAAGTCAATTGGGTCAAGGACTCAAGAACAAAGATTAGATATTTTTTCTGCAAAAACCGAAAAGTAAATATTTTGTTTTGATGGCAGTATGGTCTCTATCTTAACTAATCAACTTTGCCATTACATAGACAATCCTACATAATAAAAGGGTAATATACAAACTGACCAAATGGTAGAATGATCAGAATGCCTGTAACCCCTCCCCCTGGCTGGCCACGCCCCAGAGCAAGCACCCCCCCATTTCGATGGGGACAAGGCTTGTCAGAAAACAACCTGCGGCCCCTCCCCCCAGCCATTCCCACCCATGGCACCCATTGGGGGAGGGCTGACTGGACCTCACCAGTGCAAAAATTCATGCACCAGGCCTTTAGTATGTAAATAAATAGGCATGGCTTTGTTACAATAAAACTTTTTTTTTTACAAAAGCAAGCTATCAACCAGATTTGGCCCACAGGCCATATTTAATCAACCCTTGCCCTAGAACAGTCTGGAACTTTGAAATTGCATAAATTATTTTAGTTTTAATTTCCTTTCACTATAATTAACATTTGGTAAAGTTTCAGTACAAGTCACAGCATCATCTTACTTGCACTGTGTAAGTACAAGTATTTCATTTAGTGGAAATCTGCTGGGGATGGGAGAATTTACCTTGGTTAACTTTGCCATCTGAAAACATCTTTATTTTTCTTTCATTTATAGAGGATAGTTAACTGGATATGCATTCTGAGGTTGTCCATTTCTCTTTCATCACGTTAAAGATGTTTCTCCACTGTCTTCTGTATCATCCTCCATAGTTTCTGATAATTGAATCATTGTTCTCCTGTGTAAACTGTATCATTCCCCTTCCTCCCGGGTAGTTTTATGTTTTCTACTTATCTTCATTTCTAAGCAGAATAATAATGCCTTGAAACATTACAGAGCTCTAGCAGTTAATATTTACCTGGCTTATAAACTGAAGCTGACATCTCCTTATTATTGTTGGAAAGGTTTTTATTACAAAAATATCAGAATTACAATTACTATTTGACCCACAGTCTTGAAATATTGACATGTTCTATTAAGAAGGATGGATTTTGATGTGCCAAAACTAATCAAACATATGAAGATGTCATAAAAAGTATGAGAGGAAGTAAGTGCCATCTTCATATGTGCACATGTGACATTCCTCGTCATTAAAACGTTGTAAAAATGTAGAAGTATAAAATGTATAATATTCTAGACGTGTTTAGTATAAAGTATAAACACTGAGGCAGAGTGGTTTGAGTATAAAGACCTCAGATAAGGTTTCCTTGAACTTATTACCTTACAAATCTAAACATGAGTCTAGGACCCTCACATGGGCCAAGGCAGTTTATTATTATAAAGTGGCACAAAGATGTAATAGTCAGGGCAAGTGGCTAAAATCCTCAACTAACCTCATAAATTAAAAAAAAATCTCAGCCTCTTGGTTTAGTAGTCAAATAATAATTCTGAGTTATAAAAATACTAATATCTAGTGATGTGTAATCTGTCGTTTTTATGCAAATGCTTTGGAAAGCGGGAAGGCAAGTGAAATTAGTCTGGAGACAATGTATGAGAAGTAGAAATCATCTTCTCCTCTTACACAAATAATTTGAAAAAAGGCCAAGTTGAGAGTAAATATATAGCAACATGGTGGAGAAAGATGGGGTCTCAAAGAAGTTGAGGAAACCATCAGTATTTGAAAGTATTAAGAGAACTAGATTTTCATTCCTTAGCAAATACATGTTCTGGTGTCTCCTGAGATCAATTCTGAAAATAGAGGAGAGGATCAGTAAGAAAAACCTGCAGGAGATTTAAGAAAGAATTAGGCAATAACATATGTGCATGCCTGATAGCCTTTTTTTAACAAAGCTAAGAGAAAGCAGTTGGATGAAAAAAGTCAAGGATCATATTCCACTCACATGTGGGATATAAAGCAAAGCAACAAATGAACAAACAAGCAAACAACTCATAGTCACAGACAACCCTAGGTTGGTTACCAGGGACAAGAGGGTGAGAGGAGGTAGAAATGGTAAAAGGGGGTCAAATATATGGTAATGAAAGTGACTTGGGTGGAGTTAGCAGAGGAGGCAAGGTGGTAACGAGGAGGAAAAAATAAGCCACAGAAAAGTATATCCATTAGAAAGCATGATTCAATAAATTTAATGACATTTGCAAAATAAAAAACTATAGTTAATTCCAAGTGACTGAAAAATAATTCAAGCAACTGTGGAGCACAAGAGCAGATACCTAGATGATGTAAAGCCTAACGTATTGTGTTGTGTAAAAGGAACAATGATATACTTGTTCCCATTAATTTGCTTATTTAGGAAGGAGGATTAGAAAAGCTAGAAATATAAAAATTGGTAAAAATAATAAAAAGTAAGTATGTACTATATATTGACCAAAAGGAATTCTGTTCTTATTACAGTTTACACCCTTAGAATTTAAGAAAATAATTTAACATATTAAAGATCTTGGCTAACGATCATTCATATATATTCAGATTATTCACAGCCTAAGTGTTGTCCATCCTAACATGTAATAGAGGGCTTGTTACCAGGTAACATATGGATGCCTAACATATGGATGTGGTTATTAGGTAACCACAATAAGCTTACTTTTCCTTATTTCCTTGAACCAGGCCTATAACATAGAAAATTTACCTTAGAAAGTGCATAATTCTATATCATCTGTATGTTGCATTGAGTGGTCACCACCCAAAGTCAAGTCGCTTTTCATCATCATATATTTGACCCCCTACCCCCTTTACTGACTTTCACAAATCTTAGGATGTGAATGCACCCTGCATCTGGCTACCCTTATTTTTCTTACACTATATCACTACTCGGCTTCCTCCCTTTTCCTCCTTGTCCAGAACACTTTCTTTTGATTCTGTTCCTCCTGAAGATGTTAGATAATTATTAATGTTTGCATTCTCCCTTTCCAATAAAGTTGACATTCTTATGCTTTACTGCGACTGAACTAAAAATATTCTATATTTTTTTGATGTTTTAACCTTGCGTAGATATTTATGCCTCTGCCTAAATGTCACTGAGGAACTAAATTCTGCTTCAAAACATATAACATTACTGCAGATAGTTGTACCTTTAATAAAAAATGGCTCCACGTGAAGATTAAGAATTATTCTGTTTTTAGTGAAAATACTCATCAATTTCATGTTAAAAATAATTAATTCATTTATTTGTGAGGCCATTCTTAAGGGGAAAATATTTTCTGATCCCCAAATATTCAGAGTATATTTTTATTAAACTAAATTATTGTTCAATTTGCCTGAATATGTATTTTATGACTTAACAGATACTAAAGTGATTAGGTGTTTGTGTTAGGTATTATGAACTATCTAAATGATAAATTAAAGAAGAAAGAGTGCAGAGAAATGAAAGCAGAAATGCAAACAAATGATGCTTTCCCATTAGCATTTGCAAAACTACTGAGGTTTTTCACTTATGGTAATAGGCTTAATTAACTTATATTCTTGCTCTATAAGAAAATAAAATATTTATTTTTGTCTTCTCAAAAGGACTCTACTTCTGTGTTATAGAAATACAGTTTGAGGACATCTGTCAAACTTACTAAAATAAATTTTTTTTAATCTGATATTTCATGCTTTTAGGTTGGGGCCCCGTGACTACCTTCCTTTAAAGTCACTATTTAAGTTGTTCCTGAAATCTTTCTTGACTGATGCTTCTTAAGGAGTTGAAGATATGTGAGCATGAGCAGGTGTGAGGGTGGGTGTGTGCACACTAGCTCATGTCTACCAGCAGTTCTTAGAGCTTTTCGCATGGGATCTGATTCCCATGCTCAGCTTCAGAGTCAAGTATGCCTATTATAATCAAAATACAGTAATAGCAAAGTGACTTCTGTAATACATCAAAAGTCAAACTCAATGAGAATTTTGTGCTCTAGTTATGGGGGAAATGTCAATCTCTTACTTATTTCAATACAGTAGTCCCCCTCCCTTTATTCATGGTTGAAGACCTCTAGTGGGTAACTAAAACCTTGGATAGTACCGAACCTTATACTGTATCTATACTAGAGGTCCAGTGCACAAATCTGTGCATGGGTAGGGTCTGGCTGGGCTGCCCTGATTGGGGCCAATTGGGGCTGGGCTGGAAGGGGGTGGCAGGGGGGGAGGGGAGTAGGATGCAGAAGGTTGGCCGCCAGCCTTGCCCCCATAGAGGTAGGTGGGCTAATTGGGGACAAGGACACCTGGGGCAGGGGCCTCGGAAGGTTGGCCTGCTACTCACCCCTGATCAGGCCTGTTGGCAAGCCACAGTGCTCATCATAGTGACCAGTCATTCCAGTCATTCTGGTCACTTAGCTTCTTTTTATAGAGAGATATTTGTTCTATATACACAGACCTGTAATAAAGTTTAACTTATAAATTAGGCAATTTCATGGATAGAAGATTGGTTCTTACTATAGATCTTAGCAACCTCAGCATACAATTTTTCTTCTTTTCTTAAGTCAAAAACTTTCACCTTTTCACTTAAAGGAAGCACTGCATGGTTTCTCTTTGGAATGGCCATCATCACTATTCTTACATTTTGGAGCCATAGTTAAGTAAAATAAGAGCTACATGAACACAAGCACTGCAAGGCTGTGACTGTTGATTTTAAAAGCAAGATGGCTAAGTGGCTAACAGACGTGCAATGTCTACAGTGTGGATACGTTGGACAGAGGGATAATTCATGTCCCGACAGGTTGATGTGTGAAAGTGAGAGATTTCATCATGTTACTAAAAATGTTAAACAATTTAAAACATAAATTGTTTATTTCTGCAATTTTCCATTTATTATTTTTCAGGACACTTTTGAACACAGGTAGCAAACCAGATAAAGCAAAACCAGAGATAATGAGAGAGACTACAGAACTCAAAGCAGGCCCTACATGCAGGCAGAAATCCACAAGGTGAGGTTTAGGAGCACTGAGAAAGCCCCTTTCCTGAAAATGTCTCTGTCTGAACTCTCCCTAACATCCGAACATCAACATTTTTCAGTCAATCATTCCCATGGGCTAATAGCATTCTCCACCCCACTTTTATGATAACAAGAAGCCAAGGGTTCCTGTAAAAATCCTGGAGGTGAGGGGGAAAAACAAACAGGTGAAGAAATATAACTCTAACATTGGTGTTGTAAGAATTTAATTATATGCCATATGAATATCTGGATTGGCTCCTGCTAATAAACTCTTGGGTAGTTGCAAAAAAATCTTTGGACATAGCCATTCTCAATTTATATAAAATAAACCTGCAGGAGAATTTTCTTGGACAATTAACCAATGTAATTTTAAATGTATTATTTAAACAAATTCTACCCATATTTTTCACTAATCAAATGCAAAGTACTTATGGAAATTTAATCACCTTACAAGTATATTTCTAACACATTTATTTTTAAGACATTTTGTCCAAAGGAAACAGATCTTGCTCCTTTCCTAATCATCGGAGGCTGAGAGAGGATGAGGATGAAAAGACTGACTATGAGTTGGCACAGATCAGTGGCTTTGTTGGGGATTCGGGAATAAGAACAAGTGCTTTGATGAAAAATTGTCATGCTTTTTCTTAAAAAAGACTTAGCCCAATAAGCTATGGCTGAAGATACAGAGGTCATTTGAGTAAGAATCATTTTGTGAAGGCAAAATGAAAACCACTTCTCTTGCTGTAGTAATGGCAAGGAAAAGGAGTCTTCCCAAGAGAGTTTATTATGTGTCCATTAGAAGGCTTAGCATCAAATCCCACACTGGGGAGATCTAAACAAGGGTTATACGATAGCTAGGTCCCCTGCAGCAGTTATTAATGTGGGCAGAGACAGCCTAATTACCACCCAAGCTGCTCCTACCCTGGCTGCCATGTAACATGGAAAGAGCAAAAAGAAAGGGAAGGAGAGACAAGTAATATGATCTATTATTTTGCAATTAACTAGAGACTAGCCCCTGTCCACCTTCAATACACACACACACACACACACACACACACACACACACACACGTCTAAATCTCCAAATACCCTAAATTAGTTCTCTGCCTCTCACACGCAGGAGGCTAAGTCAGCCTCACCTCTTCCTGCATGAAAACTTGGCACCAGGTCTTTCACTCACCTGGGAAAATGTTAGTTTGATATTTCATTTATGTTCACAGGGTTATAAAGTACAGCATTTACCTATATTTCTTTTCCATCACTGTTTCATAATTCCTGTTTTATGACATGAGTTTAATCATGAAAATTAAATGCAAATGATGAGAAAATCCAAGTTTTCCTAACTCATTATATTTGTCTTTAATTACAACTACTAATTGGTTCAAACTCCTAGAAAAAAAAAACAGGTTGGACTCAATTATATAATTTTACCAGAAAAGCAGACTAAATGGTTATTAGTTTTCCATGCCAGCTAATTAAATAAAAATTCACTGCTAAAAACTTAAGCAGATTAACATTGTTTGTATATAAAAATAAAAACATTTGCAAATATTATAAAATGGAATATAAGTTATTACTGTTCAGCCTTATCTGTTTAAAAAACAACAAAATCCAATTGTAAGTAGAGTTTTTAAAAAGGCAAGAAACATTTAGGAAAATATTTGCAATATTGTATAATGGTAAACAAATGGTCAATCTGTTTAATATTCAAAAAAGCTTTCCAAGTCAATAAAAATGAGACTAATGCTTGCTATTTCAAATGTACAATGAATAATAACTGTTAATTTATAAAATAAGAAAAAAAATAAAATAAAATGCTCAAACACATTTTTTAAATGTATTATACAATCATATTGGAAAACAAATAAATGCATAATGGTATTCCCCAACCTGATGGCAAAGGTGTAAAAAAGTATATATCCTAATTTGAAGAGGATATTGGGCCCCGGCCAATGTGGCTCAGTTGGGCATCATCCTGTAACCTCAAAGATCCACTGGTTTGATTCCAGGTCAGGGTACACACCCAAGTTGTGGGCTCTATACCCAGTGGGGGGCCTGCAGGAGGCAGCTGACCAATACTTTCCTCTCGCATTCATGTTTCCATCTCTCTCTTGCTCTCCCTTCCTCTCTCTCTAGAAAAGTCAATACAGGCATATTTTTTTAAACCTGGAACTATGTTTAGTGTATATCAATACACCAAAAATAAATAGTTTAAAAACAGTTTTATTATGTGGTCTCATTTGTGTAAAAAATGTCATATATCTAAATATGTATGCACACACATAGATAAACATAATGGGAGGATATATACCAGTAGTAGAAATGCCATTCTTTTCATTTTTTAATAATATTTATTATTAGTATAAGAAGCAATAAGTTATTTTTAAATACTGTAAAAAAAATCTTGAATACATGATAAAACTTTATTTTTATCTTTTTCCTTCCCTGAAATGTTTTCACACTAGTTGAATGTATCAAGCATAAAGATATTGAAAGAACAATTTAAAGAGATAAATTTAGTTGGAGGGTTGGAGGAACCCTTCCTTTAAACAATATCTTAAAGGGTGACATTTGAGGTGTCTAAATGGATAAGCAGAATTTTGAGTGAAAGAGTTAGGCAGGCATTAAGTGCCAGAGGGTGAGCAGAGAAAGAAATAACCTCATTTTGAGGAGGGACAGATGTGGAATTGTGTGTTAAAAGGAAGCTGAAGGGTACATTGGGGGGGAAAGCAATACGTAGCCCTCTTTAGACTAATGAGGAGTCTGATTATATTAATAAGGATACTTTGCACATCACTGTTTCACCTAGAACAAGACCTGGGAAATGTCTTTGACCTCAGTTATGGGTCATATGCCTGGAGTATTGTGAAAAACTCTGAGCCTGGTACAGTCCCATGCAATAGATAGTCACAGAGAGTGACCCAGATGGTTTGTTTATGAGTACAAAAGAATTGTCACTAATCCTTCTTAGTATGCTTTCTGCTCACAGAAATCATTTTTAATTGATTAGAGAGAGAGAGAGAGAGAGAGAGAGAGAGAGAGAGAGAGAGAGAGAGAGAGAGAGAGAGAGAGAAACATCAATCAGTTACCTCCCATAAACGCCAGACCTGGGATGGAACCCATGGCCTGACCAAAATTGAATCCACAGCCTTCTTGGTATATGGGACAAGGTTCCACTGGGCAAGCTGGCTGGGGCTGCCCATAGAAATCATTCTGAAAATCTATATTGGAAAGTTAGGTCAAAGGAGAATGAAGTACCAAATTCCTCTGCTCTGGCTAACATTGTTGGTAAGTGAGAACTGACATTTTGTTTTCTTTTCAGCCCACATCATATTCTTGTAAGTTACTCTTCTCTGGAATGTGTACTTGTCACTCTTGAAAGTAAGCCCAGGCCTTGGGACAGCTCTTGCAGCTTAAGATCTGTGGGAATCCATCTCCGCTTTCTATATGTGCTCCCTTCAGAACCCACCTCCTGGCTCTATGAATCTTTGTCTAAATATACACATGGTTTGCCTGCATTGATTGAAATGACCAGTTGTTTTGGTCATTTTAGCTGTTTGGGGTCAAAAGGAATTAATGTTGCTTTAAAATATATATATACTGTCTGCCCATTTTCATGGAGTCAATCGATTCAATCAAAATTGTTCAACAACAACAACAAAAATTGTTCAACAAGTTTGTACCTGTCCCTGAAGAGGATTCTTTTCATTCATCAGGAGAAATCATTCATCAAGAGAAATCACTGTGTGCATCCCCCTTCACAGGCAGCTCTGTGTGACAAGACAGGCCCTGTGCTTTGTTATTACTTCACAGTACTGCCATGGAAGGCTAGTGTGCATCACTTTAGCTATAGACACTTAAGAGTGGGAATGAGCCTCCCTTCCAAAAAATAATAATAATAATAATAATAATAATAATAATGACTGTATGTTCACTGATAGAATAGAAAACAACATCATTGACAATCAAGTTTAACCTTTGTCTTCTGATTAAAAACAGCACAAAACAATAGTTTTTTATTATGTTTAGAGATCACCATCCATACTCCTGAAATAATGAATCCTCTTCCCATCCTCTCCATTCTAAGTTTATCCATTCTCTGTGTCATTTTCTCTAGTGTTTTCGATGTTTATTCAGTTAATGCAAAATGCTATTAAGCTATGCAACAGCCAAATATAATTATTTAAATATTTATCTTCTAAATTAAAAGTATCTCTTCCAAATAGAATTTGCTATTTAAACAAACCACACAAAGCAGTAATAATGAAAGCGTTATGACCTTGACTAGTCCAGAGATGATCACTTCTGCAGGGTCAGTCATTGTCCAGGCTGATGACAGACAAGCTCTGCTTTCATTTATGTATATTGAGGCAAATTCTAGGAAGAGTAAAAAAAATACGTCAAAAATTAAACTTTGGAAATTCAGTATCATGAACTATGAATCACAAACCCAAGAAGCCAGAAATATGATGAATGGTGTCTTTAACATTTAAGAAAGCATTGACTTGACATCACCTCTGTCCAGAAGCACAGATACTTGTCAAAATTAATATCAAAATTATGTACAAGTGTGAAAAATGCATTTCAGATGTGTAAGTCTATAAAGATGTTAGAGGGAGAGAAATGGTGAAAATTACATGAAATTGCTTTGCTGGGTTGTGAATCAATTTTCTTAGTGTTTTTGCTTTGCTGTCTTACTGCTTTCCAAGGTTTGATATTTCTCATGTGTAAGAAAATGGGATATAATTCATTTTTTTTAAAGTTGGATTTAATTCTATAATTTGTAAATATTTATGCATATTTCCAAAGAATACATGGGTTTAACTACATTTCTCCCCTGATTACTTATATGCCTAATACATCATTTGAGAACTCATATTTTGCACTTTCACAATAAAACGTTCAGATGAGAAGGGGATAACCCAAACAGCCTGACAACAAATCAGCAGACACTTGGAAAAAAATAAAGCCTGAAATGAGATATAATATAAAA